GAAATGGCTGTACCACAGTGCCCTGGGAGCTTTGCACATATCCATACAGGCAAAGCCTTGAACGGCAGCTTATCAGTCTTGGCTGAACACGTTTGTGATCCAAAACACAACAGGATGGGAGGCCTGAAAAGAGCTGCTATGAGGCCTCTCCCACCTGCCTATCTCCTCAAGAGGCTGTCATGAGACAGTTTCTCATCAGCTCCTGGGTTCTGATGAAGTATGGGGCTTTCTGCTACCCCCCACCCCAGAGCAGAGCTTCAGATTTTACAAAACCATGTAGCTGCAGTTTACATTTGCCATCTCTTTTCTGCTCCACTATCCCTATTCAACCACCAAAACCCATACCTAGCTGGGTCAGAGTCACGTGAAGAGTGAGTGCTTTTTGTCCTCGGATACCCTCTCCTCTCAATCTGAACCACAGGTTTGAAGGCAAGGTAGTGGGATTTAGGCATTTCTTATCATTCTCTCATTATTCTCCACACTGAGTAGAAGGGAATAATAGATACTATGAGTTTTTCTGTAACTTTGGCTTTGGGATCCCCTTGAGTTCCACATCCTATAATTTCAATATGGTCCCAATAAAAGTGGTGTCATGAAGCTACCTGTGTCCTTTTCCTGAGGTAGTCTGGGCTCACATGTGTGCTGACCAGCTTTCTGCACTTCAGTTTCTAAGGGTCTTCCAGAGGCCAGTTAAAATTGAGTCTAAAACTATTAAAAGTGGGTACTGGGTGAACATCAGTTTTTTGCACATTATAAACAATCTCTCATGTTCCTAAAGGACCTTAGTATTCTCTGTGCTACACATTTAAGTAGTTGATTATAGTCAATTTTTACTATATACTGTTTTCTATTTGCTAAATGTATTGTAAATCCCACCCCCAACTAGATTATAAACCTTTCAAAGACTCACACTTCTTTTGTGTCCAATATAATGCCTACTAGAATAATGAGTGCAATGAAGGCAATACTTATGAAGTCCTTATTAACTTTCCAATTAATAAAGGAAGCTCCTGTACTTGACACAGATCCAGAATTCATACTCTGCTACTTCATTTTTCAAAAGCAGTGATTTACCGTGCATAATCTTGGGGGGAGATGAGAAACTTCTCTTTCATGTGGACTTCAGCCTTGTTCTCCCACCAAAATCTGTTGGTTGCTTTCTTGTGCTCTGGGCTGAGAATGGAGAGAATGAAGAATCTCAATGATAGATTATAAAATATTACTCGGATATCTAGGCACTACATAAATAACTGTAAACATCAGTATTTCTGCTTCTGGGCAAGGTTCAGAGAGAAATACTGTTATTAGTCTCTTCCAGAATTCCAGTCTCTCTCTACCAATATAAATATGAGAATCTGAGAGGTGATGAGAGGTAACCTTGAATCAGCTGGCTTTCCTAGTTAGACCACCAACACCATGGGGGACCATGGCAACCATAAGCCCTCTATCCCTAAAGATAGGCTGTCCACCCTGCACAGGTCACAAAAGCGTTCTTCCTCTAGCTCACCCTAAATCCACCTTCCCATAAACGTATGCAAACGCTGGATGAGGCTCCCAGCCCCTATCTCACCTGGCCAGATGCTCCAGCAGCCCCCCGTGCAGCACGGTCAGGTTTCCGTGGCTCAGGTGTTTCCGCACCTCACAGCTGCAGCACAGGCACCAACAGCACCGCTCGTGCTCCGGCACGTAACGCTCGACCTGAGCTGTGCGGATGGCCTTGCGGGCCGCCTCCACCTGCGCAGAAGAGAGTGTAACACGAGGCCAAGTAGAAACCTGAACTGGACCCCCAAATCCCAACCCTTCAGGCCCTCATGCACCGCCCGCATCCCCGCTCCCAGGCCGTCTGCGGTCCCCTCCAACCTCCAGTCCGCACCTGGGGCAGAAGCCGATCCAAAGCCACCTTCAGGTGCCGCTGGTGCTTGCGACTGTAGACGTGACCGCGACCACAGAAGAAGGTCTGTCGGCACAGACAGCATCGCTGCGCGGGCGCCATCAGCAAAGGGCTAGGTAAACACGACGTACTGCGGTTCCTACGCTCTCCCGTGACTCCTGACCCCTCGGGGGCGGGGCGAACGCAGAGGCTCCCTCGCGGCCCCCAGCGACTGGCAGGCGCCACTGCAAACCCTTCTGCGGCTGTGCGGATCCTTGCCCTGGCTCCCTCTCTATGTGCAAACACATCTTGTCATCAGTATACCCAAATGCTGCTAGCTAGAAAAAGTGGTCAGCCTGCTGTGCAAGAAAGAGCGCACGCAACAGTTCGGTGAAACTGAAGGATCAAAGCCACACGCGCGTCGGGGCACTGACAAGGACCTGTATTGGACGATGTAGCAAATCATAACTAGTATTTATAGGGTGCTCACTGTGTGTCTAGAGCTTTACATTAACTACCTCACTTCATCCTCACAATAACCTTATGTAGTGTACTATTATCGGCATTTTACAAGCGGGAAAACAGGCATGGGGGAGGAAGTAACTGTGTGGAAAGCTGCACAGGTGTTGTTAACCAGTGGAGGCAGCATCTTGGGCCCAGTGCTCTTCAGTACCAGCAGACTATAAGAAACACATGCTGTGGGTGGCCATAACCTAAGACCTAATCACAGTCATATCCCACAGAGGTGTTCTGAGCATTGCTCCTGTAAAGCTGTAAAGGGAAAGCTATAAAGGCTACTAAATCATTGCTGAGGGTTAGCAGACATTTTTAATCTGTAAAAGTGCTAATCTAGTGGAATTTTTATTAATTCTTTTAACCCACTTCTCTTAGAATCAGCAGCCTCCTGTCTGTCCTCCTCCCTTAAGCCTTAAGGCCTAAGGTGAATTGCTTCTTTTCACCACAGAAATCCTCAGGTTGTGATCTCCACCCTAGAGTTCCTTGACAGAAGCTTGGGGCCTAGCCTTGCCCTAAATCAAAGAATGAACAGACAGAGCTGGCAGAGTCCTGGACTTCTCTTAGGTTTGTTACCAGTACTGGTGCATTAACCTGGATGGGCTACAATGTCTGTAGGTATATCCACAGTCAACCCCATAATTTGGGCCTAGAAAGTAGCCAGACTCCCCTTCAGATCTTGACTTCCTGTTGAACCTTCCCTTTAGACTCAAGCCTCTGCCAGTTGTGGTCCATTGTGATAACCCTTGCAACATTCAATTCTTTGACCTCCCATCATTCCCCTCGCAGAGTTAATCCTGGACTTTGTTCACCCAAAAAGGTTACTTCTCTGAATCCAAACTCTGAAGTTCTACTCTGACCGACACCATCTTCCATCCTTCCATGTAACCTTATCTTTCATCTTACAGGAAGACCTCCATTACTGAAGATAACTATTCTTATACACTCAGAGAATTTTTCAGCATCTGCCAGATGATTTGCTCTAGGCCAGTGGTTTTCAAAGTGTGGTCTCCATATCAGCAGCATCAGCAAATGGGAGCTTGTTAGAAATACAAATTCTTGGGCCCCACCCCAGACCTACTGAATCAGGATCTCTGGTGAGGCCCAGCCATCTGTCCTTAATGAGCCCTTTAGGTGATTCTGGTGCTCAATCAAGTTTAAAAATCACTGGTTTAGATCTTAGGTCCTGTTGGCTTTGCTTTACCCACTGGATCCTAGGAATATTTTCACCACATTCCCATGGCAACTTATTACTTCACTTGACTTTCCAAGACTACTCATTCTGTCAAACCACAATTGCGATTCAACCCAGCCATCTGTTTCCCACATTTGTTTCAAAGCTGCTTAGAATAGTCTACACTATCTGCTTCAACTTCTGCTAACTTCTTAGCCTTCTGCAATTTTGCTTTTGAAACTGTTTTCCTAAGGTTCTCCATCACCAAATATTCATTCAGCTGCCATCTGAACTCGACTTGTGGGAAATGGAATTGAACATCTTCCTCTTCAGAACATCCCCTATTTTCATCCTCCTAGTGAATAATACCAAGAAAAAACCTAGAGTTTGGGGGTGAGTTATCTTTTACACTCCCTTGTATTAAGTCCCCCTATCCACCCTGCATAAGTTGTTTTATTGGATTTCTGAGATGCTTAAAGTCTATTTTCCACTTTTTATACTCATAGAGCATATCTTATTTTTATTCCCTTCCTTTCTTGCTTGGATTCATGTAAAATCTTTCTAACTGGTTTCCAAGTGTCTGGTCTATTTCAGCTCCATTTATCTTCCAGACTCTGGTCTTAAGAAAGCTCTAAAATTACTATACTGATAAATGCCTCTAAATTGCCTTCAGGAACAAAATCTAAACTTCCCAGCATGACTTTCAAAATCTTTTACAATATGATTCCCAAGTTCCTTTTCAGCCTGGTCTTCTGCCACTCCCCTCCTCCTTCCCTGACCTTCTCACACACTTCTCCAGGCAATACAGATGGTCCCTGACTTAACGATGGTTCAATTTAGGATTTAAAAACTTTTTAATTTTATGATGGTGCAAAAGCAATACAAATTCAGTAGAAACCATACTTGTAATTTTGAACATCGATCTTTTCCAAGACTAGAGATATTTGGCACAATACTGTCATGACTCTGGGCAGCAGGGCAGCGAGCCGCAGCTCCCAGTCAGCCACATGATTGCAAGGGTAAACAATTGGTACTTTATAGTGTAGTGTTAAATGCATTAAATCCAGCTTATGATGTTTTTCACTCATAAGTTGAGGAGCATCTGTATTCCAGCAGTCCTATTGCTCCTATGCACTTTAGCATCTTCAACCCTTGGATCCATCTACCTGATAAATTCTTTCTATAAGGTTCTGAAATATGAACTAGATTGGAATTTCCATGAGGCTGGTGACTTTGCCTGACACATGGTAAGCTCTCAATCCATTCGTAAACTCTCATATCAATTCATTATTGAATGAATGAATTGTCACACCTTTTGTGAAGACTTCCAGAGTTGTCAATATCTTTTGCTAATCCCGTCATCATTTTTGTTTAGTAGTCAGTTGAAAACCCAATAGTTGAAAAGCTCCTCAAGTGCAGGGACTGTCTTGTTCATATCTGAATTCCTAGAATGCTAGCATAAAGTGGTCTTCTATGCATGTTTGTCAAATTAGGTTAAAACTATTAAAACTACAGGCACCCAGGATTAAGATACTGTTGGGGTGGGAATTTATGCAAGGAAGGAGACTAGGAAGCATGCAGCTAACAGCCTGATAATTAACAATATCAAACTACAAAACAAGCTAATGGGTAGTTTTATTTATTTAACAATTGAAAAAAGTAATTTCTTGTCAGAAACAAAACAAAAAAACCAGAGGCTATAAAGATATCTCTTGCCACCCCCAATCTCCAAAGATGACTATTGCTATTTGATACCTATATTCCTTAAGACATTTGCCATGCTTAGACAACATATTTAGAAATATGAATAATTTCTGTTACATTTGGAATCATATTGAATACGTTTTTTTTTCCCCACCAAAAACATATTGTGGATATCTGTCAGTAGATTTATATATTATCTGTATTCCAATGATTTATATATTATCTGTATTCCAATGACTCTCAAATGTATTTACATCTTCAGCTCAGACTTACCAACTCCAGACTTATAACAATTACCTACTTGACATAATCATCCTGGCATTTCAGATTTTAATAGAACTGCTTAAAGCCACTGCTCCTACAGGCTTCCTCTCCTCATCATTCACCGAATTGCTCAAACCAAAAACTTGAGTAATTCTTTTCTGTATCCAGTCAATCCTGTTGACTTGATTCTACCTCCAGGGTTCATCATCAGATCAGTCTGCTTCTCTCCATTTCTACTGCCACTGCCACTACTCCTGGACTACTGCAATTACCTCCTAACAGGTCTTCCTGCTTCTATGTTTGCCCCACTACAAGCCACTTTCAATGAGTGGCTAAGCATGATTTAAAAAATAAGATCAGGTTATGTCAGTCTACAGCCATGCCACCCTGAACATGCCTGATATTGTCTGATCTCGGAAGAAAAGCAGGGTCGGGCCTAGTTTGTTCTTGGATGGGAGACCACCTAGGAATACCAGGTGCTGTAAGCATTAAACAAACAAACAAACAAACAAACAAACAAAACCGCTAAGTAATCACAATGGTACTATATTTATACCTGACTATTTATACCTGAATATTGTTATAAAATTATTTTGAAAGTTGGGAAATGGTAATTATTTATTATTTTGCTAGTCGGTATTTGTGAAATAAATATATTCTGTAGAAAAAGTAAATTCATTAAATTATTAAAAACTATTTTATACACCGTTGTCCAGTTGGTTCAACTTCTTATAGGTAGGACCTGGGTCTTGTTGATCTGTTTCCAGCTCACAGATGTCAGGGCTTAGCATGAAGTTAGCACTCAAAAAATGTTGAATGGAATCTACATCCACGCCATCCTGAACATGCCCGATCTTGTCTAATCTTGGAAGCTAAGCACGGTCTGGCCTGGTTAGTACTTGGATGGGAGACCACCTAGGAATACCAGGTGCTGTAAGCATTAAACAAACAAACAAACAAACAAACAAACAAATAAATAAATAAATAAATAAATAAAATCAGGTTATGTCAGTTACTTCAATCATTTCCCACTGTTCTAGGAAAAAATCCCTTAATATAGCCCTAAAAAGACCTGCATGATCTAGTCCCTGCCACTCTCCCTAGCCTCACCTTGGATTTTTCTCCTCTTGCTTGCTTATCATATTCTGTCTGCCATGGCCTTATCCCCATTCTCTCAACAGGTCAAGGTGAGGAGGTCTCTACCTCCTAGGCTTTGTCCATTCTGTTCCTTCTACTAGAACCATTTTCCTTCCCATTTTTCAGCCTGAAAACTCATTATATAGGTCTCAGTTAAAATGTCTTTCTTAGAAAGGCCTTCTCTGACCTCTCCAATCTAGATACTTATATTGTTTTCTCTCACAATAACCTAGATTTACCTTATTATCATTGTTCATTATTAGTGTGTCTGGTTAATATATCTTTCCATCTAGACTGAAAACTCTGTGAGGACCCATTTGGGGTTTCACTGTATCCCTAGCACCTGGCACAGGGCCTAGCATATTGAAAACTCAAAACAAATAATTGTTGAAGAGGAAGTGAAGGTAGGACTATAATATTCTCTCAGAGGGCAAAATGGGTAAAGGCAGATTTTTCTCAGGGTCACTTTTTCCACAAAGACTATTTTGTTTTGTTTCTTCCTTCTGACCTGCTTCCTTTTGGGATCTGCTTGCACTTAAACCAGACATGGATAAGAACATGGACAGGGATAAGGATACACACAAAATGCAGATGAGGTGGACAAGTTGAGGCCAAATCAGATGAAACTCTCTCCTTCCTGGGAGCTGGATAGACCAGGGTGGTAGGAGAGGGGGCTTTTCTTGCAGAGTACTGAGTGGGCCCAGGGCTAATGACACTAATGACCTGGTCCCTTCACCTATTCCTCCAGTGGATATTACATAAAAATTAGCATCTGGACAGTCTAAGAGAAGAGAATCAGCACAAAGCACCTCCAGGCGGATTAGGGAAAGGCAGTTCTCTACTTGCTCCAACTGGGCATCTGTATATATCTGCCCTGCCCTGTCCCTGGCACTTGTCACTTTTTCTTCCCATCCCATCCCTGCTATTTATTCCCCACCTCCTTGAGTCCACCTCTGCCTCCTGGGAGTATCATCAGCAGCCCTGCCCACCCTGGCCTCCCTGCCAGGCAGGGATGGCTTTGAGCACTTCTGGAGAAGTACTAGCCATTGTTTTCTAAACCTGGAAAAAAGACCTAGTGCTAATGTCTCCTGAGAGAATCCTTCCTCAGCTCCTCCAGACAGAGCTAATCTCTCTCTTCTCTACTTCCAGAGAGTATGGAATTTGCCTGTTCAGAAGTTACCAGTGACATAGCAACAGTGCATTCTTACTACCTAACAGGCCCCATGCTAGGCTCTGGGGGTTTGGACATGAACATGACTTATTCCAGTGTATTGTCCTCACTGGTTGCCAATGTCACTGTAAGTGAGTGCCTCAGGGACAGGGTCTATACGTTATACTTTGCTTGGTTTTGCGGTTCTCACCTCATCAGCCTTAACACTCTACGAATAAAACATATTTTGTAAGACCATCTTTACCATCCTGAAATGAATCTTACTGATAAAATAATCTATCCACACATATAATTTTTAAAAGATAAATATAATACTTTGTAATATAACAAAAATAAAGGTAGACAAATTATAATAATATGTCAATGGATAAACTATATTTGAAAAGTGGTAGTTGGAAATTTGCATGTAGAATGAATAGCTCAGATTTAAGAAATGATATTCAAATGACCACTGATAATATTTTTTCTTTATATTGGCTACCTTGAAATAATAGTTAAATATTTGCTTATACATGTAGAATCCCTGTGAGTACAACAGATACAAACACAGACCAATATAGGTATGTGCTATTGGTGACTTAACTACCAGAGCAGTTTTGCTCTCTGTGAAGCGATCTTCAAAAATGGCAGACAACTCTTAGTAAACCTCCAATCCAAAAAGAGTACAGTCTTCCTTCATTTTATATAATAGTTACATTCCTGGAAAATTCAGTGTATATTAAAATGATGTAACAAATACTTTCTGGTATAAAACCAAGTTAGATCCTTGGCTCAGGTTATTGTAAATGGCCTGAGGTATGAGGGTCGATTCTTCAGGGTGAAAGTCTGCCTCCAGTACTGAGGACATCCGACACTCCTGGGTCTGACTTCTAATGCCCACATCACTCCCAAATCCTTGCAGCAACCACAATGCTCCCTAGGGTTAGTGAGAGCGCCTGGCCTAGCACTACTATATTTCTGGTGCATGTTAGGGAGTGAATGCACAAGCTGGAGCTGGTAGAGCAAAGGTGGTGGTGGTGATAGAGAGGTGACCAGGGAGGGATTTTGTGTGTTACTGAAATGTGCAAATCAAGCAAATGAACAGGGGCCTTTCTTCAAAGGTAGAGATTTTCATCTGGTTGTGCTTTTTCAGCAATACCACGTTTCAGAGACCAGGGAGGAGGCAGTTGGATTTCACAGTGAGACAGACTGCAAGGGATTAAGGGGTGAATAAGTGGACAGGAAATGAAGCCTACTCCTCAAATATAATAGCCATCACACTCAAAGACACAAAGAGAATAGTGTCTACTCTTTAAGGTGGCTGTATGGTTTAAATCTGCAAATGTATGTAGAATGATGTCTAGTTGTAAGCACTTGATGTTAACACGCCAGACACAGGACTGTGCACTTCGCATTGTCCTTAGTTCTCAAATCAAATCTGGGTATTTTTATTATCTCTATTTTGCATAAAAAAGAAGCTGAAGTTTAGAAATGTTAAGAAAACCAGTACTAAAGAAGATATAGTAAAGGACAGGTTATTTGCTGAGAGGGAGCAGAGCTGGGAGTCAAATATAAAAAAGCAAAGTGTTGCCAGCAACAGTAAGGTCCAGGCTACCACTAAGAGCTGTCAAGTGTTAAAAGTAGATCAAGGCCGTTAGTAGTCTACCAGCATCCTGGGACAGGGAGGAGATTCCTAACTAGATGTCACAATGAATGATAAAATAGCTACCACTGATTTAGCTTCCCCCATGAACCAGGAGAAGTACTAGCTGTGTACACTAGAGTGTAGGCACTCCACTCCACCCACTTGTTTTCCACTCTGGTACTAAGAAAAAGGTGTTGTTAACTCATTTTCCTGATCAGGACACTCAAGCTCAAAGAGAAGTGCCTGCCTGAGGGGGGTTCTTCTGAAACCAAGATGCTGGAGCAGTGGCAAGCAGCTACCTCAGAGCTGATTGATAGAAAGCAAGCAGGGCAGGGAGGAACAGTGAAGTGAGACTGCCTCAACCTTGACTGACTGCAGATTTCTGGCAGCCCCCTGGACAAGGGGAGCCATTCTCAAGACTCGAGCACCATCCACTGCCACCCCCGGAGAGAAGCGATCCCCAGTCCCCCAGAGCGGGGTGTCTGAAGGTAGAGCCATGTTTCCTGTGCAGGCCTGTTCACTGGTGAGGGAAAAGCAGGAGAGAGAATCAGAATGGTCATTTCAGCCCTGTGGGAAATCCAGTACTATCTTCAAGCACTGTCTGAATGTCTGTGACATCCTGACACAGCTTTGAACCTTGATCTTTTATTACTTATCCCCCAGGCATCTCTATATTTCCTTCGCATCCAAGGGTGGCAGCTGGCCCTGCCCTGAACATGGTCTCCCACACCAGGAAAACTACAACAGCTCAGCTAGAAAAGGACTCTTAATCCACAAGGGCTCTGGCTTCTGCTGAGGGGATAGTGGAGACAAGTGCCACAGGGAGAGACCATGCACCTCAGCTCTGAGTTCCCACCCCAATGGTTAAATGGGGGAAATGAGAGTACAGCCCACCAGCTTCAAGAAATATTTTTCCTCTCACCTTTGTCACTGTTCCTTCATGGCCTATGAGGGTTTGCCTTTCCTTCAACTGCCCCATAAATGATGTCTTCACTGTTCCCAGCTGATTACATCCACTCCTGTGAGTGCGTGGTTCTTCCTTAGGCCTTTAGCTGGGCCGGCTGCCACAAGCTAGCATCTCCCAAGACTATACTCATAACCCAGAAAAGTAGGGTTGCCAAGATCCTAAGAGAGTTGAATATTTTCTTCCTTTAAGGAAAGAATATGGGCTCTCTTTGCTGCACACCAGGCAACCACCCCATTGCTTCTGGAGCATCCATCAGCTTTGAGGGCATCTTATTTTCAACCTCAGAGCTGACCTCCACCTCCACCCCTCCACCGATCTTCAGAGACCACACATCATGCATACCCACACACCCACACACCAGGCTGCTGCAGGTAACTTTAATAAGACATGGGCTGACTCTCACTTCTTGGACTTAAAGGTCAAAGAGGAAGGGCATCACATCTGTAAGAGAAGAGAGTCAGAGGAATCCATCTGCCCTTTGCAGCTGCTGTTACCTAAGCCTGGAATGCTCTCTCACAGCAGATGATCTTTTCTGTCAAAGCTCAAATGCCAGCTGGTGTCCAGGAAAAGAAAAAGCCTCCTTTGCATACAATCCTCACATCGTGCTTCTGACATTGTGTGGTCACCATTTCCCTAGGCTGCTGGACTCTGAGTAGGGCGAAGTGTATCTTAATTGTTTCTCTATCAATTTCTTGTACCTCAAGTCCCATGCTTGTGTGCAGGGTGCCACCTCAGGCAGGCACCACCCTAGGGGCTCAGACCACTGCTATCCTCTTCCCTTCCTACAAAAGGTATTCCCTATGGTGTGGCCCAGGTTCCTTCCTTGCAATTCAGCCTTAGGTCAGGATCTTCAGGTCCCCTCCCTTCAGGCTCCCCCTCTCCCCCTTATGACAGGGCCTCACACCTGGCTGACTCATGCACTGTTGGATACTTTCCAGCTGAGTGGAGGCCAAGGCTCGGGCTTCCTCCTCAAAGCGGCGGTGTCCCTCCTCAGTCAACTTCCAGAGGCAAGATCGAGGCCATGTGCTGGCCCCACCCTGCATGCTGACTGGCACTTTCTCAAAGCTGTCACGGAAACAGAGATTGTGACGGATGGTGTTCTTCCAGCCCTCCGGAGCCGTCCGGAAAAAGGGGAAATGTTGTCTGTGGACAGGGAGGAATGGTAAGGAATGGCATGGTTTCTTTGAGAAATACCCTACCTTTGTGCGTACTCTCCCCCAAGGGCCAGGAACTTCAGTCCTTCTCTCAAGGTGGAGAATGGCAAGCTGGCCTAGACTGCTCTTTGCTGATTGAGCATGTGGCAAAACCTTCACCTGGTGTATTGCTTGGGCAAACCCTCATTTTTTAAACCCAGTTTACTGCCCCCATTCCCAGGCTCATTTTTCTCCCTCTCTCTGAGGACTTGGGACTTTGACTCGCAACAGGAACAAAGTAGAAATCAGGCCAACCAACTCCTGTAAAAGGAATCCTGGTCAAGAAGGAATACCGCTTGAGGATTTATATTCTGAGACTCTCAGATATAAGGAAAAGGTCTGAGAAACTCCTCACACTCATGTGTACATCACTATCAAAACTAAAAGTAAATCCTTTTTCAACTGGGCACCCTTGAGGGTACAAGGAGCTGTGCCAGGCAGTACAGTCCGAAGAGAAAGCGTATGAGAAACGGGGGGAAACCAGATTTCGTACTAGATAATCTTGAGTGGGAAAGTGGGAGGATTTATGACCCAGGTGAATTTATGTTTTAAAGAACTAAGATATAAAAGGGTTAGTTTTCTAGATGTGGAAGGGGGTGGGGTGGATATCTTCCTCCGCGTGTGATGTGTAGACACATATTTCAGGACAACCCACAACCAATGCCTAGGAAAGGAGAACTGGGAATACACTTATCTTCTCAAACCCAGACAGTGGAACCAAGGCAGCACCCCAGAGCAGGGACAGATTGGAAGCTTTCAGAACTAAGGGCCCATGCCCCTCCCTTCCCCCTATTCACAGAGCCCGGCACACAGGCACATACCGAGTGAAACTGTAGATCTGTTGCACGTTGAGGCCACAGGGGGAACTGTTTCTTAATGCCAGTGCAATTAGGTGGAAGTAATTGAGAGGGGGTCGGGACCAGAGCTTCCCCTCCTGGCTGTTGGCTTGCCGAGGCCTCCGTCTCTGGAGGGGGGCCGTTTTGCGAGGGGACGAGAAAGCCACAGAGGAGCTGTCATCCTGGTCCTCTGCCTCCTCCTCTTCTGTGAGCTAGAGGAGCACAGAGTAGGAACTGGTCCTGACTCCATGGCTTCTCCTCCAGGGGTACAATGGCAGAAAGGGGTAGTGGTCTAGGGCCACCATCGGGACTTCTCCCACCCAAGGACACAGCCAATTTCTGAACCCATCAACTCTTTGTTACCCCTAAGAAAACAAAACTCTCTGATGCATCATCACTATGCCTATCCTATCTGCATCCAAATCTGGCCCACAACCCCAGAAATCCCTACCTCCCAGCTGCTGGGGGAAGAGGCAAACCGCTTCTGAGGGGGAGACTGCTCACTGAAGGAAGGTGGCAGCAACTCCATCACTGTGGCCTCTGTGTAGTTGACAAAGTCTTCCTCTTTTGGGGACGGCTGAGGGGAGGGGAGTGTGCTTGTCAGATCCTCTCTTCTACTAGATTCTGGGGCCTCCTGCTTTCCAGGGGAAAAGAGAATGTTGGGGTTTGCCCACATCCACAGGTTGGGCTCAAAATCTGGACCTGTACAGAGAAAAAAAAGATTGTGTGCCATACCTCACTGGCTTTGGGTGTCCAGCCCAGGCCACAGGGCCATGTCAGAGAACTCCCCAACAACTACTCACCATCTTTATCAGAGTTGGGTTTTTTTTCCATGGGTAGTTTTGGTGGCTCAACTATACGGAGTTTATATCTGGCAACTGGTGAAAAGAAAGACAGAGGGTCAAAACGTCCTAGGATTTCCACTGTGGTCCCAAGATCCTGGGCCTTGAAGCTTCTCTGGGAGAGGGCTGTGGGACCTGCCTGAGGAGTTATGACACAATATTCTACTAGTTTTCTCCTTACTTCTATGACCTTCTCATTCTCTCTGCATTCTTCTCTTTACAAGCCACATATACTGTCCCTGAACAATCTCAAGAATGCTTGTGGCCTCAGTCACCATCTACAAAATTAGGGCTTTCAAATCTTTATCTCTAACCCAGACTTCTCTGCTACCCCTTAAGTAGAACTCCCTACAGAATGTCTTTGCTTGGATAAACCACAGGTACTTAGAACATTTCTAAAATTAAACTCCATCTTCTTGTTCTTGCTACGTTCCTTGTTTCAGCAAGTGGCACCACTCTCTAACCAGTCTCAGGCCAGAGACTCGGAAACTGTTCTTGACTCTTCTCTTTCCCATACAACTACACCTAATCCATCACCAAGTCCAACTATCCTTGTCCAAGCCATAACCTAAATGGTCTGTTTATCCTCTTTCCTTTAACAGATCATATTGCAGTTTGGGTGATCTTCCTAAAATGTGAATCCAATCTTTTCAGCCTGCTGTGAAAACTTTCCACTGCCCTTGGGCCAAATCTAAAGATAGGCTTCCTTGAGATAGTCTAAAAGGCCCTGGCTCCTCCTCAGTGTTGAGTCATTCCTCCCAGGGTCTCCACCCATCTCCAACAGACCACACTCTAGATCTTAGGCCTTCCCACAAGCTGTTTCCTTTGCCAGAAACACTGTTCCTTCTTCCTGCTTTCTTAGTTAATTGCTACTCACCCATCATGTTTCTGTTTAAACATCTTTCTAAAGCAGGTCTTCTCTGACCACCTGTCTAGACACCCCCATAGCACACATTTTATTGTAATTACTTGCTTAGAGTCTATCTCCAGGCTTGTCTTGTTCACTGCCTGGCACATGAGAGAAGCTCAACTTAATTGGATGAATGACTACATGGTAGGCTAAGAGTAAATCAAGTATATATTAGAGCTATCTGTTTGGCACTGTGCTGGCTCCTTGGGGTTAAGGGAAACTTTTTGTTTCTCCCTCATTGTCCTCATGAGTGCCATCATATTACAGACGAATCTAGGTTTTTGCCTGGAAAATGATGATATACTTATTGTAAAGCTCAGTAATTAGAAAGGATGCTCATTATATAGCTAATGTTCAAAATAATATTCAAAAAAGGAAAAAGTAGCAAGACATATAAAGTTGGAAAGAAAAAGGCAAACCTATTGTTATTTACAGAAAAAATTGATTAATGTAGAAAACCATATAAAACTGATATATGAATTATTAGGACTAATAAGAGTCCAGGAAGTTTGCTGGATATAATAATAAAATACTAATTAATATTGTTCCTCCATCACTAAGAAACTGGAAACTATAATTTTTTTTTAAAAGGTACTATTCACAATAGCAACCAAAGTTATAAAGTATCTAGGGCTTAAACCATCAAATAATGAACTAGACTTTTATGGGGAAATGATGCAATCACCATTTAAGGACATAAAAGACCTGAAAAAAACAAAGACACAATATATATTATAAAGATGCCAATTACTCTCAAAATGATCTGTACGTTTTATGCAGATATTATACTACATAATATTAAAAGGTTCTTCATAGTAAAAATCATAAGGAAAAAATCAACAGATAATAAAATAAACCAGAAAAAATTTTCAACTCAAAGTTCTCAGTCCTCTAATACAGGGGTCCCCAACGCTGACCACAGACAGGTACCAGTCTGTGGCCTGTTATGCACTGGGCTGCACAGCAGGAGGTGAGCAGCAGGCCAGCGAGTGAAGCCTCACCTGTATTTGCAGCCACTTCCCAGCGCTAGCATCACTGCCTCAGCTCCACCTCAGATCATCAGGCATTAGGTTTTCATAGGAGCACCAGTCCCTGGCACCAAAAAGGTTGAGGACTGCTGTTCTAATAAATAGCTCCTACAACTCAATAAGTAAAAGACTAACACAAACCTACAAATGGGCAAAAGTATGAATTGGATACCTGAATAACTAACAAGATGCTTACCCTTACTAGTAAAAAGAACACAATAAAATAGTGAGCTAACACTACATCATACTGACAAGGATTATAAAATCAGATAATCCCAAGTGCTGGCAAAGATGCAGAAAAATAGAATCCTTTATTACATTGCAGATCTTATAGCAACTGGTGCGGTCACTGTGACGAATAATTGGGTAGGACTATAATTTAGTATACTGTCTACTGGGTATGTATATTCAAGTTAACATAGGAATTTATACACTAACCTTCATTGTTACTGTCATCTACTAGTCTCTTCCTCATTTAGAGGAGTTTAGCTCCTGGCTCATTGTCATTAACACTTCTCCTGCCTTAAATCTTGGCTATTTCAATAGATAGATGATTTTTATAATAACCCGGCTTCTTGAACTCTTCTCCAAAGATTTTGCCTTCCATTCTACTTTAGATGGTCTCTCTCACTGTCATAACCTGACCCAGTAACTGCAACCTCTCCATAACCTCATTTTTGCACCACAAAAATATATCACCTCCTATCTGTCCAGCTACCTCCCTCTCAACCCCAACTATTCTTTGATACCACTGATATCACCAATCCATTGATCTATGGGTTTGGAGCACTCATTTGGCAGAGTTGGATTTAATCAGGGTTGTGGTTTGGCCCAGCAAATGCTCCAAAACCACAGAGGGCCAAAGGAATTGAAAAGTGTATGAAGGAGAGTGAGCCTGTTTGATCATGGTATTCCAGGTTAAGGAAGAAAGGACACCCAGTGACTGAGGGCAGTAAAAAGGTGACAGGAACAACAGACTGGTGATTTCAGTGGGATCAAATGATAGTGCCTGTCTGTCTTACTGTCTGTCTCCCTCATTCCCTCTCTTTGGCACAGACGTCCTCATGCCTTCTCAGGGACAATGTTCCAACAATCTTCTCTCTTCTTCCCTGTTATTCTTTTTTTTTTTTTTTTTTAATCTCTATTGGGTTATTCTCAACAGCCTTCAAATATGCTGTTAATTCATCACATGAAAAAGAAAGACTTTAAATCCTACTTTCTGTGCCAGGTCACTATTACACATTTTTGCTTTCCTTTGAGGAAGAACTTGAAAGAATTGCCTATACTTTGTCTCTACTTCCCTTCCTTCCACTCATGCCCATGCCAATCAGGCTTTCTCCTCCATCAGTCCACCAAAGCCACATTCTCAAAGCTGTGCTTTGCTAAGTCTAATTGTCAGCCCATCTCTTACCATATCTCTCAGCTGCATTCCTCTCATCTGACCATTCTTTCCTTGAAATATTTTCTTCATTTAGTTTTCAGGAGACCACAATCTTGGTTTTGATTTTCACTGGTCATTTCCTCAGTTTTTGCTGGTTATCTCTCTCCTTTCCTTCAGATGAAATGTCCCTGGGCTAATCCTTGTTCCTTCTCTATTCTCACTCCTTAAATGCCCCATGTATACCGCAGACTCTCAAAACTTATATCTACAGTCCACACCTCTCTCCAGAACTCCAGACTTACATATTTGCCTGCTTACTCTGAACATTTCCACTTGGATATCTAAAAAGTATTTCAAACTCAGCATGCCCTAAATCTGTCCTACCAGAAGCTTCCTCCATCTCAATAGAAGGCAACTCCACTTAATCAGCCAAAAACTTCAGAGAAGTCATTCTCTACTCTCTCTTACACCATACATCCAATCTATCAGCAAATCTAGCTGGTTCTACCTTCTCACACATCCTGTGCTACCACCCTGGTGGTCCAGTCTAGCATCATTTCATCTGGATTACTACAGAAGCCTCCTAACCAGTCTCCCAGGTTCTAGGCTCCTAGTTTCTTTACTTCTACAAAGTACCCTCAACACAGCGGCCACAGTGATCTTTTCAGAATATAGATCATGCAGGATTGGCTACATAATTTCCAGTGCAAAATGAAAATGTGAAGTTCCTTATTCAAAAGTTATTAAAAATCTCAAGACAGTGAAAGCAGAGCATTAAACCAAGTATAGCCACCCTATGCAACTGTACAGGTCACATACTCATGAAGCTGGCTATTGTGTCTCTCTTTTGCTCAAAACCTTTTGACCATGCCACATCTTACTCAAAGTCAATTCCAATGTCCTTAGAGTAGAAGACAGTCTTCCTGATCTCTGCTTCACACCCTCTGAACTCTCTACTTACTTTGGTCCAGCCTCACTGGCCTCTTTACTGTTTCTCAACCATTCCAAGCATATTCCTTCCTTAGAGCTTTTCACTGGCTATTTCTGCTGCCTGGGAAACTTTTCCTTTAAATAATCTTCTTGGCTCACCATCTTACTTCCTTCAACTTTCTACTCAAATATTATGTTCCCAATGAATCACTCTATTTAAAACTGTAGCTACCACCACCTTCCCTGCTCTAGCCCCATTCCTGAGCCCTCTATGTGTTTTTTCCCCATCTCAGTTATCATCTTGTACCAGCATATAAAATTTTTATGTGGATTGTCTGTCTGCCCCTAATAGAACATAAGCTCTGTAAAGACAGGTCTGTTTTGTTCATTATGTATCACTAGTGTCTAGAACAGTGTCTGGCAAACTGGAAATGCTCAGTAAATATTTCTCGGATCGGTGGAGATACAGGAATGTCCATCGGCATTGCTATGTGGCAGAGTTGGAGGCAATCTAGGTCTCCATCAGCAAGGAGAATTAAAATATGAAAGGCAGCATCTGCAGATGGTAGACTACTATACAACGGTCAAAAATGATGAATCAGATCTACATTTAGCAACTTGAATCGCTCTCAAAAACAATGATTGTGTATGGGAGGAGCAATGAGCATTATATAAATTAAGGTCACCTAGAAATAAAATAGTGCTAAATTGTTTTCAAAGATACACGTATCTAAAGACATTAACTGGCTTAGGGTAAATACATAGGAGTGTGGGAGGTGATAGAAGTGGGGTGGAGGCTGAAGGAGGAAAATGAATTAATCCAAGTTCTTTGGCGAAACAGATAGCAATAAAGCATACCAAGAATGTAGGAGGTGATTGTCTCAACTGTCTGCACTTGAGTCCAGATTGAAAAACAATTTTTTTAAAGACCCCGACGGCCAGCCATCCATTCAACAAATATTAAACACCTCTGGGTGTCATACAATGTATCAAGAGGGGGGATACAGCCGCGAACAAATCTGATAAATTACAGTTTTTTTAAAAAAAAGATATGAATGAGTAAAATAAGTAGCGCACTAAATGGCGATAGGCGCTATGGAGAAAAGGATGAGAAGAGGCCTAGAAGGTTGTGGGACGGAGCTGGGCGGGCGAGGTGGAGTTGAAAGCGTGGTGCCTGGCAGGGCAGGACCGCTGCCCTCCGTGGGCTTGCAGTCGAGGCAGCCTGGCCTGATCGATCGCTGCTGCGGGACCTGGAGTGGGGGAGGGGGCTCCGGCCCTCAGCAAAGGGGGCGCAGGGCTCCAAAACTCTGCGCCATCGCCTGGGGTCGCCCCCAGAGGGGAGGAGGTGGAAGGCGAGGGAGCCCACTGGCCCGGCTCTCACGAGCCCCCCACCCGGCAGCTCGACACGCCCATCCCCCTGCCCCCAACCCGGCACTCACGGTTCTGCTGTGCTAAGGGAAGGTGCGTCGTCGTGCAGGCCAGAAAGCACTCATTCCCCATGTCCCAGTCCAGTAACCCCGGGACCTGGCCATGGAGGCTGGCCCAGAAGTCGGGGTGTTGGAATTTCAGGTCCACCTTCAGGGAGAAGAGAGAGAGCCCTGCACCGAGTGGGAGAGTCGGAGAGACTGAGGCCAAATCCTCTGGGCCGCTTCCTCAAATACCCGCGCTCTGATTGAATTAGTTTTGCTGGCTCTAATGGAGTTAGCTTCCACACCTTTAATTCCCTGTGGCCTCAGCTGGGTACTCTCTACTGCGTCTTTCTTCACCCCCCTGGTCTTTCCTATTGGGGTTTGGGGACCATGGGGGCACCGAATGGAGCCGTTCCAGGTCCTCTTCCCCCGCTACCTTTGCACAAAACTCTTATTTTATTTAGTAAATTCGTCTACAGTTTAAGAATGATTCCATGATAGTATTAACTTTCTGGAACTTCTGATTGTTTTAGATTGTTTTATGTCTTATCCAAGATCACGTCTGTAGTACGTTGTGGAGATAGGATTAAATGGTGATTTCTTTTTTTTTAATTTTTTAAATTATTTTATAAATGGTGATTTCTTAAAGTATATTTTTAATAATTTCAAGTTAACAGAAAAATCAACAGTACTGTAAAAAAATTCCTGTTTACTAAATCCTATAATTCATCAGTTATACCCATTACTAACATTTTATTATGCTCACATTTTTCTCTCCATTTACACATAAGACAAAGATTATTTTTTTCTGAACTGTTTAAGAGTAATTTGCAGACATCTTGAATTTTTACCCATAAATACTTCACCTGTGTATTTCCTAAAAACAAGGAGATTGGCTTACATAATCAGGAAATCAGAAATGAGAAAATTATCAAAATCAGAAAATTTAACATTAATTCAATACTATATTTAATGTATGGATCCTATTCAGATTTTACCAATTGTCCCAATAATGTTCTTTATATAAATTTGTTTTCTGGTCTAGGATCCAATTCAGGATCATGCAGTACATTTAATTTTCATGTTTCTTTAGTCTCCTTTCATCTAGAGGGCTTTCTCAGCCTTTTTGATCTTTTATAACATTGCTATTTTACAGGCCACTTATTCTGTAGAATGTCCCTTAATTTAGGTTTGTCTGATGTTTCCTCATAATTAGACTTAAGCATTTTTGGCAAGAATACCACAGAAGTGATGTTGTTTCCTTCCTAGTACATCACACCAAGTACATCACACTAAGCATTGTTAGTTTATCTCATTGTTAGTGATCATAACTTTAATCACCTGGTTTAGTATCCACCAGGTTTCTCTACTGTAAAGTTATCTCTCCCCATCTTTTGTAATTAGAAAATAATTTGTGAGGAGATACTTTGATCTAAAATCCTGTTCCTCATCAAGTTTGGGCCCACTAATTCTAGTATCCATTTATGATTTTTGCCTGAATGAATCATTACTTTGATGGCTATAAAATGATTATTTTTCTAAATCTATTATTCTCTTTCCATTTATTTAGTTGGCATTTTATTGTAAGGAAGAGGTTTTCTTTATCCCATATTTGTTTGTTTATCAGTGTGGATTCAAAGGATTCTTATTTTATACAGAGTATTATAATTCATTACTATCATTATTTGTTTAATCCTCAAATTGTCTCAGATTTGGCCAGTGGATGAGCTAGCCCCTTCTGGTTCCTCTGTGCATCTTGGGTTCCCCATCAGAGCCCATTCGCCCTATACTGTGTTGTCTGTTGCTTGTTTACCAGACGGAAACTTTGAGAGTACCTGGCACATAGGAGACCCTCAATAAATGTTCTTTTAACTGTAGTGAAAATAATTGGATCCTTTTTAAAGGTTTGCTAGGATTCTACCTTTAATTCCAATAATAATAATTTTAATACTTTCTCTAATTATAAAAATATATGGGTCCGATGTGGAAAACTTGGAAGTATAGAGAGCACAGAAGGAAAAATGACAGAACGAAAATCATTCTCTGTATTAATCAGAGATAATAATCGATTACATTTTGATGTATAGTCTTGCAATCTTTTTCATTATAGATGTTTCATTTTTGTTTCATAGAAAATATTATTGTAATGCATCCACCCTTTTATAGCCCTTTTCAAATTAGTCTACCATTTAATTATGTTACTATCATGCAAATCATGTAGCTGATAAGGATTAATATCCAGAATATATAAAGAACTCCTACAATTCTCATACACACACAAACACACTCAATAATTTTTAAATGGGCAAAAAATTTGAATAGACATTTCTCCATAGACGTATAAAAAGTCCAATAGCACATGAAAAGATGTTCAACCTCACTCATCATTAGGGAAATGCAAATCAAAACTGCAATGAGATACCCCTTCACATCCACTGGGATGGCTATTATAAAAATAAACAAATGAAACAGAAAATAACACGTGTTGACTAGGATGTGGAGAAATTAGAACCCTTGTGCACTGCTGGCAAGAATGTAAAATGGTACAGTCCCTGTGGAAAACAGTATTGTGGATTCTCAAAAAATTAAACATAGAATTACCATATGATCCAGCCAATCCACTTCTGGGTATATACCCAAAAGAATTGAAAGCTCAGACTTGAACAGATATTTGTATATCCATGTTCATAACAGTATTATTCAGGAAATTCATCTGCTGTTTAAGGATGATTCCCTAAGAGTATTGGCTTTCTAGAAGTTCTGATTGATTTTATAGCATATCCAAGGTCATGTCTGTAGTACACTGGAAACAACTCAAATGTCCATCAACAGGCGAATGGATAAACAAAATGTGGCATAAACATACAATAGAATATTATTTAGCCTTAAAAAGGAATAAAATTCTGACATCTTCTATAACATGGAGAACCTTGAAAACATTATGCTGAGTGAAATAAGCCAGATACAAAAGGACAAATTTTGTATGATTCCATTTTTATGACATACTTAAAATAGCCAAATTCATAGAGACGTAAAGTAAAATGCTGGTTGCCAAGGATGGGGTAGGAGGGAATGGGAAGTTCTGGTTTAATGGATAGAGAATGTCTATTTGGGGTGATGAAAATGTTCTGGAGATGGATAGTGGTGATTATTGCATGACAATCTGAATGTACTTAATGCCACTGAACTGTACACTTAAAAATGGTTAAAATGGCAAATTTTATGTTATGTTTATTTTATCACAATTAAAAAATTATTTATATCAGTAATTTCCCAGCTTTTCTGTGCATTGGAATCTTCTGGGGGTCTTTAAAAAATACCAGTGTCTAGCTCCAACCTGTAGTCATTCTGATTCTGGTATGGAGTTTGGGGGTTTTAAAAGCCCCCTGGATTACGCTAATATGCAGCACAGTTTGACTCCCAGTCAAATGCTCTTTCCACAAAGGGCTCACAAACCTCCCTTGCCTGGTGCAGTTAAGATGGGGAAGCATAGCCAAACCATTCTCTCTGCAGGGCATGCTCTCTCTGATCTTCTCTTGACTTCAGGCCTCAGCTGTTGGGCCCACCCAAACAAAGAAGAGTCCCAGTGTTCACCTCCTCTCTCATTTTTCATAGCACTTACCACATTTTTTACTTATTTACTTGTTCACATTTTGGGGAGTCTGTCTCTTCCGCTAAGTTCCGTGAGGGAGGAGCAATGTCTTTTCACAGTTTATCCCTTCAGTAGCTCTTGGCACATAATAAGTGATCTGTTAATGTTTGTAGAAAGAATAAATATCGTCCTCTTCCATTGTCTCCTTCTCCTTAGCTCTTGGGTTACTATAGAGAGGCATCATTAAGACTATTGTTCCAGCATCTTCCAACTCTAATTTTTTATTGTTTCACAGAATTTTTGGCACTTTCCCAGACCCTTCCTCCTCTTTAGTGGCTTGTTTATTTTTTGGTTTGTTCATTTATTCAACAAGTATTTATTGAGTACTACGTACTGTGTCCCAGGCACTGTGGAGCAGAGGTACTATAGGCCCTTGGGAGCAAAGTGACTGCTCTCAGGGAAGGTATAGTCTGGTGGGGGAGGCAATTGAATAATAACATAAACATATAATTATAAGCCATAGTAATGCTATGAGAGATAATCCAGGAGAACCTAATTTAATCAGGGGATGGCAGTATGAGAACACTTCCTTGGAGAAGCATTAACTATGCAAATAGGAGATGGGGGTGGGGCAGTCTTAAGAGCAGACTCGGCATATGGGATAGTCTGTGCAAAGGTCCCGAGGTAAGAGGGAACACAGAACATTGCGTTAACATGATGAGAGCAGAGGGGAAGTTAGGGGAGAAACCAAGGCTGGCCTTGAATGTCACCTTAAAGACTTTAGTCTTTAAGAACAATACAAAGATCACTGATCTTTAAAAGGAACATATATGGGAGAGAACAAAAGTGAATAAGAGTGACCACTCCTGCTCTTTTTCCTCAGTTACCAGACTGTACCACTCTTGTCCCTCTCCACCTAGGGTTCTTCCACTTCTGCTGTCTCCTCCTAGAGCCCTTTTAGCCTATTCTCTACTTCTCTCACTCCCTAGTACTCTATCCTTTGGTCTCACCCTGGTGGCTCTCTGTTTTTCTCCACTCGGAGCCTCTAATGTTTTCTCCAGCACTTCCCCTTGCTCTGCTAGCACCCCCACCGACTCACCCACCCAAAGGCCCTCAGACCTCTAGGCCCCCACATGGGGCACTAGCCCCTGGTTGGGTGGCCTGCTGCAGAGTGTGCAAAACCCACAACCCAGGTGTGTGGCCGAGAATTCTGACTCCTGGGTTCTTATTTCATCCAGCCCCTTCCTGCCTCCTGAAAAAAGCAACTCTGGGGCTTTGGGCACCTGCAGCCTAGACATAGATTCTATAGATTCACGCCAAAGTGAAGCCTACAGAAGGGAGACACACAGCAGAGGTGGCATCCAACTTTATTGTAGGGACTTTGTTTACTGAGGAGGGTGAATTGTTGTTGGGGGTAATGAAAGAGGTGAAAGGGGAGGAAAATCAATTTTGACAGGAGTGGGGTGAGAAAAATAATAGGGAGCGTTGGGTGAAGATGAAGCATTAGGGGACAGAAGAAAGGCAGAGGGAGGGAAGGGAGGTGAAGAAACCGATAGGGCCAAAGACTCGTGATTGAGGACTGGGAGCAGGCAATCTTTACAGGGGAGGAGGCAGGAGCAAAGCTCTGGGTTGGAGAGACAGATGGTGCCCTGGACTTCCTGGAGGAGCCCACTGCTCACTGCAGGCGTCCTCACTTTTGGGCACCCAGTGCCAGGGCAATGATGAAGCTCAGAACCAGCAGGAACATGGCGACAGAGAGCAGCACTGTGATGACCACCATTCCGCCTGTCCGGGCCATTCCCAGCCCAATGGATTCCACCTTTCTTCCTGTCAGAAGAGAAAGTGGGGAGGCTTTTGTGGGCAGAAGGGACCCCTATCCTACTTGAGGTGCTCAGGCTAGCCCTTCATCCAGATATGCAACCAGCTATCTATTTATCTATTTATTCATCCACTGTCCAACTGATCAAGAGATGCAGACATCTATCAGGTAAACATTTATGAATCATCTCCTACATCACTCACCGGGGATAGAGAAATTAATAAGACACAATCCCTACTCACAAAGAACCTTTAGTTTAGCAGTGCAGGAAGATGAGTCAATGGGCAGTTAAAATGCCAAAGGCTGTGTTAGAATAGAGCTAAGGGAGCATAAGGAGGGGCAGCTGGGGGTGGGGGTGAAAGGGGCTAGAGAAGATTTTGGGGGCTTCGAGGTGTGAAAGGGAGCAGGTGTTACTTACGAGGAAGTGTCGACATTGGAATCTCTCTACTGGACTCAGTGGATGTGCCTTTCGTCACTAGGTAGGAAATGCTTTTGTTGGGGGCGGGGGGAGAGAAGAGGATCCTCTGTGAGGATCTTGGACTTGGGGAAGAGGGAGCCTCTCCCTTCACAGTCGTGCCTCCCGTTGTGTCCTCCTCTCCTCTGGGATAGGCCCATTCTTGACCCGTTTAGTGGTCCCCTCACTCTCTCCCCCATGTTTGCCACATCCCATCGCCACCACCAAATGTCAGGACCCAACTTCTCTTCCTGTACCCCCTCCCACAGGTGCTCCAGTCCTGGTTCTGGTACCTACTAGTATTTGGTTCCTGGCACGAGGTTTGTCACCTGGTAAGCACTGAGCCGGGTAACTGTGAAGCTAGCCCCGCTGTCCACCACACTCACCAACTCTCTTCGCCCACGGCATGGAGGCACCAAAAAGCTAGATTTCACCACTGGGTAGGAAATTGGGAGTGAAAAGCAGGGTTAAGTTTCTGGAAGCCCCAAGGAAAAGGGGTAGCATTTAGAGTGTGGTCCCAGGGAAGGGGTCAATAGGAAGGCATGCATGAAAGAAAGGATGCTGGGGATGTCCTGGGAAAGGACTAGGGGGATGCCTTGGAATGGGGTAGCAGACCTTTGCTGTCATTGGCTCTCCGGACCATCAGTGTGGCATTGCCCCCTGTGAGGTGACAGGGGGGCAAAGCAACTAGCAGGCTCTCCGTTAGTGCTGGGAACAGCAGACCAGAAAGGCTTGAGATGTTGAAGTCTGCTGGGGGCCAGGAGGGAGTTAAAGAGTAGGGGAGAATTCAATTCCTCTCCCCCACCATCATATCTGGTCCAGCCTCCAGAGGCCTTTCCTAAGGATGCGGTGTCCTCCCCTTCCACTCTGCATTCTACCGATTAAACACAGGCCTTTGCTGGTCCGACCACCAGGTGGCAGGCTTGGGCTGCAGAAGCTGGATACTCCCCCAAGTTGCCAGATGCTGGGTGCCAGGAGGAGGCAGCGCCCAACTTCACCCTGACCTGCAGCCTTGGGTCCTTCCTCACATCTCTCTGCCTTCTGGGTCTGGAAGAGGACCAGGAGTGTGCCCTTGGATCAGTGACGGATGCCTGGTCACTGCTATTGCTAGCCCTCCACCTCCAGCTGGCCAAATGAGCAACTCTTTCAGAGCCCTAGAAGGCACAGTGTCTCCTATCTAGGCTCCAACCCTTCCCCACCCCCACCAGAAATGACAGAGACCTGCAGCCCCTGGGGCCAGGAGAGCAAGCAGAAACAGGATCGAGGACAATGTTCTGCTGGGTAGCAGAGATGCCATAGCTGGGCTGGGAGCTGGAATGAGTGCTGGCAGGCTGCAGTTTTCTGAGGCAAGTGAGGCCCTGCCCCTGGGGTGGCTGGTTTTGTCCTGAGGGTGGGAGGGGCTGGAGGGGAATCTTGTCCAACCTGCCTCCTGGGCCCTACACCCTCAGGGGTTCCCCCAGACAGGTTTTTCAGGATGGGGAGCTGGCCCTCAGGCCAGAAGTAGAGATCTTGGCTGGATCTTGGTGGCTTAGTCAGCTGAAGAGAGGCAGGGTAACTAAGTCCCAGAAGAAATCACCCCTTCTTCTGAGACTCCAACATATAAGGGCACCAGTGTTCCTGCCTGCACATGCATGGGGAGGCAGGTTGTGGGAGATCTCTCCTCGAGGGCAGCAAGTCCTGAGGTTACTCTGGTGTACAGGAAGAGGAGAGTAACCCCGAGGAGCTCCCAAAAGGGTCCTGGCTGGGCAAGAATGGGAGGGAAATGAAAACTGGTAGTACGGGCAGCAGAGCCAAGGGTTCCAATTCTTGGTGTCCACTGAGGCCCAGGTACAGGTGCCGTAGGAGAGGCAGGGGTGTTTTGGCAAGGAGTGTATAGGGGTCCAGATTCCTCTGGAGAGTGGGGCCGAGGGTGCCAGGGAAGACTTCTGGAGAGACCAGAAGAGGTAGGCACTGACCTAGTCCAAGGGAGAGGGAGAGGGCACAGTCAGCCTTGGTCAGCAACCTTTGTTGAACTGGTTGAGAATAAAGAAGAGAAAGAGACTTGGTAAGAGAAAATGAAAAAGAGACACAACTTCTCTGACTGCATCCCCTACCCCTGTGCTCAGTTAGATAGAAATGAAGAAGGAACTATGAACAGAGCGAGAGGAGAGATGAGGAGAAAGCACTGGGCAGGGGCATTGCATGCTCTAACATATTAATCCTTACAGCCATCCTGGGTGGTAGATGTTCTTGGCTCCTTTTTTTTTAGATGTGAAAATTGAGACAGAGAGGTGGAGTCACTTGTGGAAAGTGAACACTGTCAAGAGAGGTTGTAGACATCTACAGAGACCTGAGAGCTCCACAGAGTGTTATGTATGTCTTTTTGCTCCATAAACATTCTATCTTCCCCAGTCCCAGGGAAGTGTCAGGGTCCTGGTAAGGAAGTGAGGGACTGGTGGGGTTGTGACCTTACCCCTGTGGTGGGAAGGGTAGGCTCAAAGCCTGGGGTACAAACAGGGGTGACAGTAAAAATAGAACTCACGGACCCCAGCAGAGGGTTGGAGAGTCTTAGACCAGTGCTTCTTCAAATTTGATGTTTGTATGAGTCACCAAGGGATCTCGTTAATATGCAGGTTCTGATTCAGTGGGTCCGAGGTGAAGCCTGAAATTCTGCATTTCTAACGAGCTTTCAGATAACACTGATTGATGTTAGTCTGAGAGGCCCACACTTTAAGTTGCCAGATGCTCTGTGTTACACATCGCCATATACACACACTCTGGACCCTCTTTGCTGAAGACCAGGGGAAAGTGTTTTTCCCCAATCTCCCAGGACAGGCTGCCTTTAGGTAAAGAATTAAATTCTATTTTCCCTGCACCTTGGTTTTCGTCCTCTTTTAGATCAGATTCTACTATCATTCTGCAAACTGAAAGAGAATCTTTTGTACATTGAGGAGAACTTTGGAGTAAGGGAACAGACTAAAAAGGTGGAATTCAAGGTTGAGGTGAGGGGCTCTTCCTGGTGCTCTTCAAATCCTGTCACTAGCCAGGAGGATGTTTACACTTGGGCTTGAAAGGTGTCTTTTTCCATTTCAGTCACAAACCAGGAAGCAGAAAGACAAAGAGTTTGGGTTTATTTCAGAGTGGCTGTGTTGGATTTACTCCTAAGCCCCATCCCTATCTGAAATCAAGTGAGACGGAATGGGGTAGGGGAAAGCAGAGCTCTGGCTAGATTTTAAAGGGATAAGAGGGCCCTGTGCCTTTAAACCCTCCTGTCTCCCTCCAACCCCCCTTCCCCACCTCTGGCCCTCCCCAGGTTTCTGGAGGAGCTGAGAGTTGCTGTCTTCTCCCTGCCCTGCCAAGCTGCTCACTGGCTGCTCTGGAGGCTGTGCTTTGTGGTCTCCATAGAAACCATTAGTTGCTAAGCAACAGAAGCATCATCTGTGCTGAGCTCTCGCGTCTAATTATCCCATCACAGTGGCTGAGAAGGGTTTGGGGAGCTGAGAGAAGGGGGAGGCCAAGCGCAAGAGCAAAAGGATAACTCTTTTAGCAAAGCAGATTCATTGACAACGCTGAAGTCATTTAAAGCCACAGCATCCTGTTCCTCTGGAGAATTTCCTTATGACTTGGAGTAAGGAAATTAGAGCCACAAATGCCTGACATCTTTCTCTTGCACAAACTCTTTCTAGGCTGTCTTACCCTTGGATTCTCGATTCTAAACTCTCTCAAGTTCCCTCCCCTGCTTCCCTCCTTCTAAATCCCATATTCAAGTTAACAAACATATATTAAGTAATAGATATGTCCCTGGAACTGTGCTAGGCACCAGGGATATAAAGGTAAGATAACTTTCTGCCCTCAAAGAGCTCCTAATCTCCCTATTCTGCCTGGACTGGAAGATTATCTCCTAAAACGGACCTACTCTTTCCGAATTATGGTACTTTTTTTTTCTTGAACTATGGTAGTTTTGCAACCAGAAGACCTCAGGTCAGAACCTCGGTCTGTCTGATACACTGATGGTTCTCTTTCCACAATGTCAGTCTTCTTCTTCCCAGTAAATTAAAAAAAATGTGTCTACTTGGCTCCATGGACATGTCAACCTCTAATAGGGACTATTGTCCTCTCAATGATGAGTGATACCACATAACTCTAGGTGAGTCACTTTGAACCTCAATTTTCTCACCTATAAAATGGGAAGACTCATTCATTCTCATTCATCTAGCAAGATATGACAGGCGTAAAAATGCTTTAAAATAAAGGTGCAGAAGGAATGCAGATCAACTGTTATAATCTGTAGGACACCCTGGGGAAAACCATGGGGACTTGAACTTAGAGGTTAAGATGCAGTGCTCACCAGATGTGGTCTGATGGGAAATGGCAGAGCAAAAGGCTGTAAGAATTTAAAAAATCTCAATCATTTAGTTGGAAAAGACCTGGATGTTCCATTTTTTCCCCTAATGTTGCCTATGATAAAACCACTCACCCAAATCTGCTTCCAGCTCTGTGACTTTGGCCAAGTTACCTGTCTAAGTACTATGAGCTGCAGTTTCCTCTTCTGTAGAAATGGTATAAAATCTGTCTCACTGGGATATTGTGACTATCACTCAAGCTAATTTATTTAAGAGTGTCTAGCACAGTATCTGGTTCAATAAATATTAATTTAAGTAATTCATCTTATCCTCTCCTTTTTATTAACCCTTAGTACAGATAAAGACTAGAGACTCAGAGGCAATAAATGACTTTCCTAAAGTCATAGAGTGAGTAGAGAATGAGGTAGGATAGAATTTAGAATTTGCTTTTCCATCTGTGTCATTGATGCAAAGGGAGATGAGTGAGCAGGAAAGGCAGTCTGAGGGGGAAAAAGTCATGACTGAGATTAGACCAGCTGTTCTTTGTATAGCAAGCATGCCATAGGGGTACCAGACACACAGTAAACATTTAATTCAGTAAACAGTTGTTGAACAACTCTTCTATGGTGAGTATTATGCTAGGTGGTAAGATACAGGGATGACAAGACACAGTTCCTGCTCTCAAGTTGCTGAGTCTTAAAGAATGAATCACAGTTAGCCTGATTGAAATATGGAAAGGGGATATTCCAAAAAGAGGGAGCAGCACAGAAAAGGCTCAGAGATGTAAATTATTTTGACACCTTCTGGGAACTATGAAATGTACATCTTAGCTCATTAGAAAGACTTATTCAAAGATGGGCATGGCGAGAGCTCTAGCTACTGGCAAGGTCACCAGTGGCTTTGTAGGCTGTGCTAAGGAAGTTGGCTTTCACCCTGAAGAAAACAGAAAGCTAATGAGGAGTTTTAATTGTGAAAAGATCATTCTGGAAACAATGTGGAAAACGGAATGGCAACAGGTAATAAATTAGTACATTGTATCTGGGTTGATTTCTATGGCCAATATATAGCAGAAGTGATGGTATGTCACTTCTGAGTCTAGATCATAAAAGGCATTGCATCTTCCTCCTTGTTCTTTTGTGATTGCTCTCTGGAGGACATGGAAGCATCTCTATGTGGAGCTCCACATGGCAAGGGATTGAGGTCTCTTGCAAACATCCATCAAGGAACTCAGACCTCTAGCCAACAGCCATGTGAATGAGCAACCTTGGAAGCATATCCTCCAGGCTCGGTCAAGCCTTCAGATGACTGTGGTCCAGGTCAATGGTTTTGCTGCAACTTCATAAGACACCCTGAACCAGAAATACCTAGCTAAGTCTCTCCCAAATTCCTGATTCTCAGAATAAATGTCTGTTTTTATAAATCACTAAGTTTTGGGGTGAGTTGTTATATGCTCTGAACATTTTCGTAATTGAGTATGTGAGTCTGGAGCAGAGGGGAGGTATGAGATAACGAAAGGGAAGATGAGCAATGGTTTAAAATCACGAATGTAGAAAAGAGTCCTTGAAGAGAGTAGCAGAAGGGAAGGAGATGAAAGCCAAGGGCAGGATACTGGGAAACAGCATTTAAAGGACAGACAGAGGGAGAGGAGCTGATGACGGAAGAATAAGAATTAGGAGGAAAATCAGGAGGGAGTGGATAGAGAGTTTCAAAAAAGAGGTGTCAAATGATTTGAAGGTAAGGACTGAGAGAGGTCCACCAGGCTTAGAATCTTGAGGGTTATGTATATCCTTAGGAGCAGCTTCCTGCAGGTGAGGAAGGCAGAAGCCAGACCGTAAGAGTCTAGAGATATCTGAGAGAAGTAGAATTAGAACTGCGTAGATTGCTCTTTGAAGAAGTTTGGCTGGGAGGAAAAGAAGACAGATAACTGGAGGGAAATTTGGGGTACAGAAAAGGCTTGTTTATTTTGCTTTTAAAGTGATTGATGCAGGAGAGAGGGGGTATAATTGATGGTGAACTTTCTGGAGGAGAAAGAAAATGGAGTTCGGATCAGAGGTGGAGGCATCAGCCTTTGGCCACAGAAACAACACTTTCTAGTAGAGGGAAGAATGGGGACAATGATGCAGAGAACTGTTATACTTTTTTTCGGGGGGTGGGGCGTGGGTAGGGAGATTGGAGTGGAAAAGGCTGGAGGGTAGAAGAAGTAAGTTAAGGGAGCTCTCCCCTGAAGGCCTCTGCTTTCTCTGGGAAGTAGAAAACTCAAGGGGAAGAAGGATTTGGGGCCTGAAAAGAGGTGAGAATTTGAAATTGCTGATGTAGGGAGAGGAGGATGTAGCTATCATGAGCCTTGAGGAAGGCTCTGTTTGGTGGTAATGGCCCAGATGACCTTGAGAACCTCTGGTCTTCAGGGGCACTGACTGTATTAGTCAGGGTTCTCCAGAGAAACAGAACCAACAGGATGTGTATATATAGAGAGATTTATTTTAAGGAGTTGGCTCACGTGATTGTGGAGGCTTGGCAAGTCCAAAATCTGATGGAGGAGACCAGCAGGCTAGAGACACAGGAAAAGAGTTGCAGTTCAAGTCCAAAGACAGTCTGCTGGCAGAAGACCTTCTTTCTTGGTGGGGAGA